CTCCCTTCCTCCCTTCCTTCCTTCCTTTCTTTGATGATGCAGTTTTACTAGGCAGTTGGGAAAGGTCTTGAACTCCTAGGCTTGTGATCCTCCTGCCTTAGCACTTAGATAGCTGGGACTAGACTATATATAGGCACATGCCAGCATGCCCAGCAAAGCAAACATGTTTTTATATGATCGCAGTAATTGTGTATATTCATATATTCAGTTAAAATGTTTTAAATTCCAGTTATCAGAAAAACTTTATCTTAAACTAGCTTACAAAGACTACCTATATCTTGCTATGATCTGAACGTTTATGTCCATCTAAAATTCAAGTGTTGAAATCCTAACTCTAAGTGATGGAATTAGGAGGAAGTGCTTTAGGAAGGCCATGAGACTGTGAAGTGGTGAGGACAAAAGCCTTAGTGCCTTAGGAAAGAGGTCAGAGCGTTTAGTCTTCTATTCCACAATGTAAAGATGCAGCTAGAAGCTGCTGTCCGTGAGGAAGGAAGTTGTCACTAAATCTGCCGGTGCTTTTCTCTTGGGCCCCCTAGACTCTAGAATGGTAAGAAAATTTTCTTGTTTAGAAAATGTGTGTAGCCACCTGGTCTATGATATTTTGTTATTGGAGCTGTAGGAGACTACAGCTTTCCTTTGTGTAACTAGAAATTGGATATGTGGTATGATTAAGTAGCTTATTTAAACCCTTAACCTAGTTTCTTTATATCTGTCTAGATTTTTCATGTACTCAACATTAGCTTTATCCTAAAGCATTTTTCTTGTAGATTTCTTGTGGTTACTAGCAACATTCAGAGCTATAAGTATTCTTACTCAGTCCAGTAAGAGACAAAGAGCCAAGCACTGGTGGCTCACACTTGTGATCCTAGCTACTCAGAAGGCTGAGATCTGAGGATCATGGTTTGAGGCCAACCCAGGCAGAAAAGTCCCTGTGAAACTCTTATCTCCAATTAGCCTTTCAAAAAATGGAAGTGGCAGTGGCTCAAAGTGGTTGAGCACTAACCTTGAGCCTTTTAGCTCAGGGACTGTGTCCAGGCCTGAGTTCAAGTTCCATGACTGACAAAAGAGAGAGGGAGTGGGCAGGGGGGAGGGATCAGCCTGCTGAAAGCATACAAGTTTTTTCTATTTGGACTGATAAGTCCAATATAGGTCATATGACTATAGGGTGATATGTACTAGTTGCCTAGTTTGATCACACTGTACTTGGAATTGGGTTGGGGACATGCTGCCTTGAACAAAATTAGGATTTAGTTGCTAGTGAAGAAGTGGAGAATGGTTAAGTGGTACGCAGCCAAGTTAATCTCTACCATAATATCTTTTTTAAAAAGGTTTTTATTTATTTCTGATAGCAAAAAAAAAAAAGCTCATTATATAAAAATCTTGGAAGCTGGGTGCCAGAGGCTCACGCCTGTAATCCTAGCTGCCCAGGAGGCTGAGATCTGAGAATCCCAGTTCAAAGCCAGCTCGGGCAGGAATGTCCATGAAACCCTTATCTCCAATTAACCACAAGAAAACCAGAGGTGGTACTGCGGCTCAAATGGTAGAACACTAGCTGAAGAGCTCAGGGACAGTGCCCAAGCCCAGAATTCAAGCCCCATGACTGATTCCCTCTGTCTCTCCCCACCCCCCAAAAAAATCTTAGAAATACAGAACAGCTGAAAGAAGGGACTAAAAATGTACATGCTATTATCATTTAGAAAACTACTTCTCTATGTTTTTCTCTTATTTATAGTTTTTTCATAGTTGACGTCATACACCTTATTGTCAGTTTATACTTTAATAACTATAGACTATTTCATCAACTGGTTATATCATAAGGTACTTAGCAGTTCCTTTATGATTAGATAGGTTTGTAGTTAGCGAGGTTGTTTTATTATAATGGGCCATACAACAATGAAGGTTATGGGAAGTAAAGTTGCTTATTTCTGTTGAATCTTTCCTTTACGATCACTTCTTAGAATAAAGCTTCTGATGAAAATATTTTATAGTATATTTGACTTTGTAACAATACAGTTTTATGTCCTAAACTGTTGTATAAGCTGAAAGTGCCATCAAATAGAGTGAACCATCCAGCACTTGGTGTTGTAATTTAACTTACTAGGAATAAAATGGTAAAATGCTTTAGACTTGATTTAAAATTTTGTTTATTTATTTTTGTCAGTCTTAGGGCTTGAACTCTGGGGCTAGGTGCTGTCCCTTAGCTCTTCAGCTCAAGGCCAGTGCTCTACCACTTAGGCCACAGCACCACTTCTGGTTTTTTGATGGTTAGTTGGAGATAAGAGTCTCACGTACTTTCCTGTCCAGGCTGGCCTTAAACTGTAATCCTCAGATCTCAGCCTCCTGAGTAGCTAGCATTACAGGCGTGAGCCACCGGCGCCCATCATTGACTTGATTTTTATGCTGGTGGCAGTAACTTTAACTTGTATTTAACTTGGGGTTTTATTTACTGTAGAGACTTGCAAAGACTTGGAGAACTTCAGTCTGAATTAGCAGGTGTTGCTGACTTCTCTGCTACCTATCTTCGGTGTCAACTACTTCTCATCAAGGTTGGTTTGGATCCATTATTTTTATAATTGTGATGATAAGAATGTACTTTGGTTGTTCTAGCAGTATTCAAGCCTTAAGTGGAAAATCTTATAATCCTTGCAGCCACTTAGCAATGGAAGAATGTATTCACTGTAATGATTGTATTTATCTCTAATTAAAGAAGTGTTGCTGGGTACTGGTGGCTAATGCCTGTAATCTTAGCTACTCAGGAGACTGAGATCTGAGGATGGGGGTTTGAAGCCAGCCTGGGCAGACAAATCTGCCAGACTCTTATCACCAATTAGGAACAAAACAGAACTGGAGGTGTGGCTCAAGCTGTGAGGAAAGGGAGAGGGATAGAGAGGAGAACAGCAATAAATGAGGTCTTGAGTTCAAAGGCCCAGGACCTGCACATAAAGAGAAAAAGAAGGTCCTTGAAGCTCAAGGTGTGTGGTTCAAGGTCTATGTGGCTCAAGTATAGAGCATTTGCCTACCAACATGAGGCTCTACGCTTAAACTCCATACCAAGAAAAAAAGAGGAGGAGGAGATGGAAAAGGAGGAGGAAGAAAAGGAGAAAGTAGTCTTTGAAAGCTAAATGTGATAGTGCATGTTTGCAATCCCAGTACCCAGTAGGCTGAGAAAGGGGATCATGAGTTTGAAGCTAGCCTGGGCTATATAGTTATTCCCTGTCTCAAAAAAAAAAAGGTCTGGGCATCAGTGGCACATGCCTGTAATCTAAGGCTGCTCAGGTGGCTTAATTCTGAGGATCATGGCTTTAAGTCAGCTAGACCAGGGAAGTCCATGAGACACTGATCTCCAATGAAAATCCACCAAAAAGCTGGAAGTGGAGCTGTGACTCAAGCAGTAGAGCACGAGCCTTAAGCAAAAAAACAAAATCCCAGGATCAGCGCTCAGGCCCTAGGTTTAAGCCCCATACATATAACACAAAGTCCGTGAAAATAAGAATCTACAGCAGAAGTTAAATGGAAGTAGTTGGGGTCATTGTGTATGAATAAATGAGGCTTGATTTCTAGTTTGTATATAATGATGAGGTAAGCTCTTCAAAGAACTATGTACATCAGAGCAGAGAATAGGGCTAGAGGTGTGGCTCAGGTGATAGAGCTAGGAGCAAAGACCAAAGATCCACAGTCAAGGAACAAGGTTCTGGCTGGCTCAGGTTAGTCCAGTAACTCTGGGACCGAGTGCAGGAAGCTTACTTGCTTGTGCATTCTAGTGAAGCTCATGGTACATACTGTTTCTAAAACTGATCTGAGTGTGAGACAGGGGCTTTTGGACAGGAGTTCATTGTGCCCAAATTAAATAAATGGGTAGGGCTCATTGGCTTAAAATAATATGCAATGGCAAGTTATACCAATCATTGTAGAATTTCAAAGCAAAACAAAAATGCAAACCTCACGTAATATGTATTTGTGACCGCAATGTTCTCTTCTCTCCTCATTCATCTGGGTAGGCCTTGCAGGAAAAGCTGTGGAATGTGGCTGCCCCTTTGTATCTAAAGCAAAGTGATTTGGCTTCAGCAGCAGCAAAACAGGTGAGCATATTCGGATCTCAGACAGGTTTAATTGTTTAGTCTAGGGATTGTTTAGTCCAAGGCAGAGCCAGAAGTCTTCTTGTAGTTCCTTGCCTCTGTTCTGGCTTCCATACTTTCAGGTTCTGAGAGCAGTTAGTGACAAGAGAAGCAGTATAGATAGGGGACTCAGCACTGGCCTTGGAGTCACTATGTAATATTGAGCATGTTATTCCTTCATAAAATGTAGCAATTGCTTGTGCCTTGTCTTCACATAGTGAGTCTGTATAGACCCAGTGATTATGCTTCATTAAGGCTATGATTATTACATTACAGTTCACTAAATTACTCCAAGTCTGTTAGTGAACCCATTACCACAGTCACATTTGATAAGAGTAAATATGAAGTCCCTTTTATTAGATGAGGCAGTTAAGGCAACAAGGTTAAGTTCTTAGAGTTCTAGCTAGAGTCAGGATGTTCTATCCAGTATCTTTTCGTTCTCTAGTTCTAGACTGCCAATGCCTGTCCTGATGCAGACCCTCTCAGATTTATTTTTCTGACTTATCATAGATTCTAGAACTTAATAACCAGAACTAAAATATGGCCATATTGGGAAAGTTGGAACTAGAGAGTTGTAGTTTGGAGGAAGAGTGGAAAGAATATTATTGCTATATACCAGATTACTAAGCTATATGTACTTTTTTTTAAATGCTTCATTTGATTCTGTGATTCTGTTCTATAATGTGGTGCTATACCCACATTAAGCAGATCAACGCTCTATGTACTTAAGTTACTTGTCAGTTGTAGGATAGCCTAGAGTTATATCTCTAGACCCAAAGCCTTCAAAGGAAAAGAGAAGCATCTGTGTAGAAATAACTGATTTGTATAGAATTGATCAAGAGGTCTGGGAAGGTGGCTCAGTGGTAGAGCACTTGCCTTGCATGCATGAGGCACTGGGTTCGATTCCTCAGCACCACATAAGCAGAAAAAAAAAGCCGGAAGTGGCTCTGTGGCTCAAGTGGTAGAGTGCTAGCCTTGAGCTGAAGAGCTGAGGTACAGCGCCCAGGTGCAGAGTTCAGGCCCCACGACCGTACCCCTCCTCCCCGCCAAAAAAAGTAGAATTGACCAAGAGTTTAAGATGCACTTGGCATGATCTTATTCTCTGCAGTCATTCCCTAGTCTCCCTCAGACAGACCAGGCCCATAGATCTGGATGATTGGTTCCTGAGGCTTAATTCTTGGAAGAGTCTTCCTGGGGATTGGGTTTCGGTATGGAGTGTATATAAGCAGTCCCTGATTTACAGTGATTTAACTTACAATTTTCAAACTTTATATGAAACCTCAAAAACAATATACATTCATATCATAGGAACTTTACTTTGGATTTTGAATTTTTATCTTTTCCTGAACAGACAATGCTATTTTATTATGTTTGGTAGTGGCAGTGAGTTGCAGTCCCCTGTCAGTCACCTGATCAGGAGGGTTAACAGCTAGTATTCTGTAGTACTACACTATATAGTTGCTAAATTTAGTTATATGTAATGCATTTTTACTTACTGTATTCTCATTTTAAAAATCTTTATTAGGGGGCTGGGATGGTGGCTCAGTGGTAGAGCGCTTGCCTTGCATGCCTGAGGCCCTGGGTTCGATTCCTCAGCACCACATAAACAAAAAGAAAAAAGCTGGAAGTGGCGCTGTGGCTCAAGTGGTAGAGCACTAGCCTTGAGCTGAAGAGCTGAGTCAGCACCCAGGCCCAGAGTTCAGGCCCCCAACAGGACCCAAAAACAAAACATTATATTAATTGCACAGAGGGGTTTCAATTATGATATTTGCAACTGGAATACAATGTACATTGGTCAAATTGATTCTAGCTATGTTACTCTTTTTTTTAACTTCCTCCTCACTCCTTCTTAAACAATTGGAACTTACAACAGTATTTTCAACTTACAATGAGTTCAATGGAATGTAACCTGATAATCAGTCAGTAAGCACCTGGTATCCATTGTTTTTTCATAGCATAATGTCAGTTTGTTTAGGGTTATATGTAGTGCTTTGCAATTTTATTGGTGGTTAAACTTTCATATCTTCACATCAGTAGAGATGGTTTTACTGCCAGGTGAACGACTTGTCTTTTTCTTCCATTGATAAACTAATGCTCTTTTTACAAGACATATTATATTGATCTTACTGGCTACTTAAAAATCTCAATTCAGTACGAGACACTATGTTGAAAATGAACTTTACAACTTTGAGGGGGGAGGGAGGAGTTTGGGAGGTGGGAAGGAAGGGATGGAAAGGGAAAAACAAAAGGAAGACGTAACTGCTTCATAGGAAAGGTACTCATTACCTTACTCATGTAACTGTAACTCCTCTATACAGTATCTTTACAATAAAAATATTCATTAAAAAATTTCAATTTAGAAGTAAAACAGGCATTAAAAAGAAATATCTAGCCTTAGAACTTAAAAACTCAAAATTGTCTGACCAGAAGTCTTTACTGTTCTCAAGAAGGTAATATTTTCGCTGACTGTCAGCTACCTTCTCCTGTAGATCATGGAAGAGACTTACAAAATGGAGTTCATGTACAGTGGTGTGGAGAATAAGCAGGTGGTGATTATACATCACATGAGGCTGCAGGCCAAAGCATTGCAACTTATAGTGACTGCAAGAACAACGCGAGGGTAAGATGTCAGCTGGGCAAAAAGGGTGGGCATTTTCCTTTCAAAGACACCTTCAAATGTGTTCAGAGACCCTCCAGAGTTATTGCAAAGTGAAATGAGATTTAAGGAAGATTAGTGGATAGACAATCTGTTTTTCCTGAGGTATTTTAAAGTTAGATCTTTTAGATTCTTGGAAAGCCAGTCATGTATCTCTCTTGCCATTCTCTCAGCCCCCCTCCACAGTGGCTCTCTTATCCACAGCACGACAAAGGGCTTCATCTGGCAGCAAGAACATTGTGTATTGCTTGTCCTTGATAGATTTCTTTAAGAATCTTGTGCCAGGAACTTTTTCTCTCCAAAGGGATTAGGAAGCTTTTTGTCAGGGAAAAAGATGAATTAGGAAGAGGTATTATAAAATCAGCCAACCTGTAATCAGTCAAATTGTGACTTTTTAAACTTAATAGTTGTTTTTAGCCTCTCTGTGCCTTGTTTCTCTGTCTACAATAGGAGAATGATAACAGCATCTACTTCATGGGATTTCTATGAAAAATAAATGGAGAAATACAAGTAAAAGTCTGTGTATATAGCCACGTGCCAGTGGCTCATGCCCATAATCCTAGCTACTTAGAAGGCTGAGATTGAGGATACAGTTTGAAGCCAGCCTGGGCAGGAAAGTGTGTGAGATTTTTACCACCAATTAACCACCAGAAAACTGGAAGTGGTGCTGTGGCTCAGAATGGTAGATTGTTAGCCTTGAGCAAACAGAGCTCAGAGACAGCACCCAGGCACTGAGTTCAAGCCCCATGACTAACCAAAAAAAAAGTTTGTGTATGCTTTTACTTATGGCAAAAAGCCAGAACTGGAGGTATAAGCTCAAGTGGTGGAGAGCTAGCTGTGAATGAAAAAGCTGGGTGAGAAAAATGAACTTTACAACTTTGGTGTAGGGGGGGTAGGGATGATTGGGTCGGGGGGCAGGGGGAGGATAGGAAGGGATGGGAAAGGGAAACAAAGGAGGAGGCTACAATGCTTGATAAGAAATGTACTCATTGTGGGGGGAAGGAGAAGGATTGGGATTGGGGGGGGAGGGGGGAGGCTGGGAAGGGATGTGAAGGGTAAACAAAGGAGGAGGCTGCAATGCTTGGTAAGAAATGTGCGCATTATCCTGCCCATGTAATTGTAACCCCTCTGTACAGTATATTCACAAATAAAATTAAATTAAATTTAAAAAAATGTGCTCATTATCTTGCCCATGTAATTGTAACCCCTCTGTACAGTATTTTCACAAAAAAAAAAAAAAAAGTAAAAGAGGCCGGGTGCCGATAGCTCACGCCTGTAATCCTAGCAACTCAGGAGGCTGAGATCTGAGGATTTTGGTTCAAAGCCAGCCCAGGCAGGAAAGTCCGTGAGACTCTTGAGCTTGAAGAGCTGAGAGACTAGACAGTGCCCAGGCCCAGACTTTAAGTCCCACGACTGATCAAAAAAAAGTAGGGGCTGGGAAGGTGGCTCAGTGGTAGAGTGCTTGCCTTGCATGCCTGAGGCCCAGGGTTCGATTCCTCAGCACCACATAAGCAACAAGAAAAAACCCGGAAGTGGCTCTGTGGCTCAAGTGGTAGAGCGCTAGCCTTGAGCACCCAGGCCCAGAGTTCAGGCCCTATGACCGGACCCCCTCCCCCCCAAAAAAAAAGTAAAAGAGAACCATATATACTTATATATTTTTATATCAGGAAAGAGTTTTTGTCTTGACTAGAACTTTACTTCTCCAATGAATAAGATAATAATGAAAGTAAGAAGTATCATGCAGAAATTATATACAAGAAAAAAATCTTAAAAGCACAGAGATCAAAAGAACTTCATTCAAATTAAATAGTGTAAAGTATATGAAGCTGTAGTATCCAAGAAAGTAGGAGTACAGTATGTGTCAATGGGCAAAGTAGAAACAAAACTTGCCCTTTACATAAGACTTTACCTTTGACTTCCTTTCTAGTTCTGTTACTGATAACCTCATGGTACCCACCTTAGTACTAGGCCATACTGCTATAGAAAAAAATGATCCCAGAGTAGTTAGAAGAGAGTATAAAGCAGCTATCATTTTCTGATGCAAATACCATAGATGTGAGCTTCATTGAGTGCAGTGATTCTTGTAACTGGACATCCATTGTGAGGACCCTAGAAGCTATGTCCACATTACATCTAGACATCCTGAGGCGGGTAAGCTGGGATGGTCTTCATCTCTGCCCGTGGTGGACTTCCTTGAACACCAGCTTTAGCAACAGGGTTAAAACTGTAAGACGGGGCTGTGGAAGGCCCTGCATTCAAATAAGCCCTGCATAGAAATAAGCAAATGAACCAACAAATAAATACTGTAAGATAGATATAGAGACTGTTCTAATCCTGCAGAGAGGTATCTAATCCTGATACCTCTCTTGAGTATCACAGTGAGTCTGGTGCCAAGTGTGTGGTTGCAGGTTTTTTTGGTGGTGGCATTTGGGTTTGAACTCAGGTTCTTTGTAGGCAGGTACTCTATCACTTTTAGCCACTCCCAAGCCCATTTTACTTTAGTTATATTTTGAGATGATGGGATCTTGTATTTTCACCTGGGTTGGCCTGGACCATGATTTGTTTCTTGTGTAGCTGGGATGACAGGTATGCACCACCATGACCAGCTTTTGGAAGATGAGATCCTATGAGCTTTTTGCCCAAGCTGTCATTGAACTGTGATCCTCCCAATTTCTGCCTCCCTGTAGCTTGGATTATGGGTGTTAGCCACTGTGCTTAGCTCCAATTTATATACAGATACACACAGACACCAACACATACACAACTTAGTAATTCATATAAGTACTAGAAATTTCCAGTCCCAGTTTTTAATGATTCTTGGACCAAATGAGCATGCAGTGGTTTAATCATGGTTTGGGACCCTGACAAATGTTTCGCTCAAGTTTTGGGGACCTTTTTTTTTTTTTGGTTGGTCATGGGGCTTGAACTCTGGGCTTGGGTGCTGTCCTTGCTCTCTTCAGCTCAAGGCGAGCACTCTACCGCTTAAACCACAGCACCACTTCTGGTTTTCTAGTGGTTTATTGGAGATAAGAGTCTCACAGACTTTCCTGCCCAGGCTGGCTTTGAACCGAGATCCTCAGATCTCAGCCTCCTGAGAAGCTAGGATTACAGGCGTGAGCCACCAGCACCCGGCTCTCATTTCTTAGATCATAGATTTCACAAGTTGCTTACTATTTTGGTTTTCTTTTCTATAGAGTTGATCCCTTATTTGAGATGTGTGAAAAGTTTTTACAGGAAGTGGACTTTTTTCAGAGGTAAGTATTTCATGATTCTTATGGCTTATTAAACCTTGGTTATGCAGAGAGTAATGCAATAGGTACCAAGATCACAAACCAAATTATTTGATTTAGTCTATGCAGCCAAGCAGCTTTCTGTGGCAGTATGCCCTAATTTGGTATTTTCTTTAGTGCTGTATAAACTTCTTTGAAGTTAGAACTTCAAAAATAAATGCACAAGTGGATAGTGAAAACATCAGAAGTTGTTGGGTTTCACCACTCAATTAGGTACAAAAAAAAAAAGATAAGTTATAAAGAAAACTCACGCTTTCACAATGGAAAAAAATTACAACCTTTTTTTCTTTTCATTGCTGTTAGATGCTTTCCTATTTCTCTGTAAACAACAAAATATTTTCCCTTTTTTTTTTTTTTTTGGTCCCTGAGCTTTTTGCTTAAGTATAGCACTGTACCATTTGAGCTACAGGGCCTGAACCTTGTCCCTGAACTTTTTTGCTCAAGGCTAACATTGTATCACTTGAGTTAAGAGTCTCAAGGATTTCTTTGCTTGGGCTGATTTTGAACCATGATCCTTAGATCCCAGTCCCCTGTGTAGCTAAGGTTACAGGTGTGAACAACTAGTGCTCAACTTTAGCTTTAATTTTTTTCCTCCCCCTCCAGTCATGGGGCTTGAACTCTGGGCTCTGTCCCTCAGCTCTTCAGCTCACGGCTCTACTACTTGAGACACAGCGCCACTTCCAGTTTTCTGGTGGTTTGTTGGAGATAATAGTTGCAGGGACTTTCCTGCCCAGGCTGGCTTTGAACCATGATCCTCAGATCTCAGCCTCCTGAGTAGCTAGGATTATAGTCATGAGCCACCAGCACCTGGCTGTCTTTAATTCTTCAGATGACTTTTATTCTGTAAAATGAATGTATTTCTCAATTCAGACATCATAGATGCCTATAATCACAACCTCTTAGGAGGATGAGGCAGGAATATTACTTGAGCCCATGAACTTGACATCAGGTCAGATTCCAACACAAAAGAAAAATACTCCTTTAGAGTTCATGAAATAAACTGAAAGTAAATGCAACTAGTAACTAGACCAGTGTTATGTTGGGAGTACAGGATTTTAAAATACTTACTAAGTCTGATAATCATAATTTCTACTCCACTGTTCCTGCACTCATTAATTTTTACCAAAACTGGGGTTTTTATGACTTTTTCATAGCTTCCTGTAGGGCTAGGTTGCATTACTATTCTTCACCAGGAGGTGATGCTCTTTAGCAAAGGGTTCCTGTGGACATGTAAAATACATTTATACTTCATTTTTTATTTTAGAATTCTTTCAGATTAGGAGAGTTCATTTTTTTGTTGTTGGTTGTGGGGCCTGAACTCTAGGAGTGGGCACTGTCTCAGCTCTTCAGCTCAAGGCTAGTGCTTTACCACTTGAACCACAGCGCCAACTTCCAGCTTTTTCTGCTTATGTGGTGCTGAGGAATAGAACCCAGGGCTTCATGTATGCAAGGCAAGCACTCTACCACTGAGCCACCTTCCCAGCCTGAGAGTTCATTTTTTTATATAGTTGGGTTCAAGAGTTTTTTTTTTTTTTTTAAGATGACATCTCTTAGTTGCCAAAGTTCCTCGTCTGTTGTTAAGTAGAGTTACATATTCTTTCTTCATTTATCCTCTGAGGTCCTGTGCAGGTATTGCTTCTTAAGTACAGGATTTGTTAACTTACCACCTTCTACAGAGACAAAGTGTTGTGGAGTCAAATCTAGACAGGGAATAATAAGCTAATTGACTTTTTCTATGTCTTTCTTGGATGCCAGTGGTTCACACTTGTAATCCAAGCTACTCATGAGACTTAGATCAGAGGATCACAGTTCAAAACCAGTCCAGGCAGGAAGGTTCATGAAACTCTTACTTCCAGTTAACCTGTACAAAGCCAGAACTGGGACTATGGTTCAAGTATTGGGAACTCCTCCTAAATCCGGGTTTGTCATATTTCTAGGGGGTCAATCCATTGTGAATGAATACATACTCAATTACTTCTTTTTATTCCTCCAGATGTTTCATTGCTGATTTGCCCCACTTGCAAGACAGCTTTGTGGACAAACTTCTGGACCTTATGCCCCGACTCATGACATCCAAACCTGCAGAAGTGGTCAAAATTCTGCAGACCATGCTGAGGCAGAGTACTTTCCTGCACCTCCCCCTTCCTGAGCAGGTTACAGGCTATGTTGTACCTTTTCAGTATAAGTCTGAGAACCACTTACCTTGGTGAGCTTCTTGATCAGTGGAGCAGCTCTTCCTCTGCTTGGCTCCTACATGGTTATATATTAGATAAGAAGACTGAAGGGTAAAGATTATGTTTTGTTGCTCAAACTTGACCTGCATTTAGAATCAATGCATTTTCTTCTTGCTTGCAGATCCACAAAGCCTCAGCCACTATCATTGAGCCAGCTGGCGAGTCAGACAACCCTTTGCGGTTTACATCAGGGTTGGTGGTGGCTTTAGATGTCGATGCAACCTTGGAACATGTGCAGGATCCACAGAGCACTGTAAAGGTCCAGGTGTGTTACATTTGGGTCTATGTGGAGTTTTTAGATTGACCTTATGTTGAAGCATTTAAGTTATTGCCCCTCTAAGCTCTGTCTGAGGCACTGAAACTGGGAAAGGAGAAGAGATGAACCTCCATAGCTCTTCCATGCTCTGCTACTGACTAGTACTACTTGAATGGAATCAGGTAGATAAAACCCCTAGCCTTAGATTCTATGCTTGACGTATCAGAGTGATTGATCCTGAAATTATATAATTAAGTTTCTCAGAGTAAGAGTTCACTAAATGACAGTCCCTTTCCTTTTGTGTAAAGGGAAGTTACGACTTAATTCTTTTCTAGCAGCATGTGTGTATGCTTGTGTGCATGTGCACACACACATGTGCTACATATATTCTAGACAGAGTGACATGTGCCTATTCTCTTCATATTCAGGAGGCTGAGAATGGGAGGATCCCAAACCCAGTAGTTCAAGAACAATTTTGATAACATAATAAGATCCCATCTCAGAAAAAAAAATCTTCCATTATACAAAATTTTTTTTTAATTGTAAAGATAATGTACAGAGTGGTTACAGTTACATGAGTATTGTAATGAGTACATTTCTTTTTGAGCATTGTTACCCCCTCCTTTGGTTTTCCCCACCATCCCTTCTTTCCCCACCCCCCCAATCCCTCCTTCCTCCCCCCCACCCCAAGTTGTAAAGTTCCTTTTCAACAAAATGTTTTGTACATCTCATTGTTACAATGGGTCAACCTGTATTATTGTTTTAGCATCTTCTTATTTCCCCTCTCCTCCCCAAATTAGAAAAATGTATATACAAGATGCAGGGCACCAGAATCAAATACAGTGAAAACGGATTATACCATGGGGGAAGAACATACAAAAGAAACAAAAGAAATCACATATTACATTAGAAACAACAGCAATAAAGATAAAACCTCGTGTCCCTATCTTGGGATTCATTTCACTTAGCATCATCTTATATGGTGATATGTACATAGCTTTTGACATTTTCTGCTTGTCTGGTAAGATTATCCTAGATATATGCTAGTTATTGCAAATAAGGGAAACCGTGGGACCTATGTTTCCTTGGGTCTGGCTTACTTCACTTAACATAATTTTTTCAAAGTCTTTCCATTTCCTAACAAATGGGAGGTGTCATTCTTTCTGATAGAGGCATAGAATTCCACTATATAGGATTATGTATATATAATCACATTTTCTCGATCCATCCATCTACTGAGTGGCATCTGGGTTGGTTCCATATCTTAGCTATGGTGAATAATACTGCAATAAACATAGTTGTGCTGGTAGCTTTAATATGGCCTTGTTTGTGATCGTTTGGGTAAATGCCCAAAAGTGGGATTGCTGGATATAGGGGAGCTCTATGTAGAATCTTTTGAGGAACCTCCATACTGCTTTCCAGAGTGGTTGAACAAGTTACACTCCCACCAACAATGCAGTAGTGTTTCTTTTTGGCCACATCCCCTCCAACATCTTTTGTTAGTAAATTTCTTGATTATAGCCATTCTAACTGGGGTGAGGTGGAATCTCAATAGATGAAAACTTTAAAAACCTAAAAAAGGAAATTAAAGCAGAACTAAGGAAGTGGAAAAATCTCCCATGCTCCTGGATTGGGAGGATTAACATCGTTAAAATGGCAATACTGCTAAAGCTATCCACAAATTCAGTGTGATACCTATCAATATCACAACCTCATTCTTCAATGAAATAGAAGAAGCAATTAAAAAATTCATATAGGACAATGAAAGACTCTGAGAACAATCCTTATCAGAAAGAACAGTGCTAGAGGAATATCAATAACAAATTTCAAACTCAACTTCAAAACCATAGTAAATCAAAACAGCTTGGTACTGGCACAAGAACAGACCCGAGGACCAATAGAATAGAACTGAAGACCCAGAAATGAACCCACAAACCTATAGGCTGATAAGGGAGCTAAAAATAATATAATGGAAGACAGCCGGCCTTTTCAGTAAACGGTGTTGGCAAAATTGGTTAAACACCTGTAGGAAACTAAAGCTAGATCCTTATGTATCACCCTGTACCAGAATCAACTCCAAATGGATCAAAGACCTTGAAGTAAAAGCAGAGACCCAGAAAACATTACAGGAAGGAATAGGAGAAACTCTAGGGCTCCTTGGCACAGGCCGAAATTTTCATAATAAAGACTCAGAAACACAACGAATCAAAGAAAGGTTGGACAATGGCATTGCCTGAAACTGCAGAGCTTCTGCATGGCAAAGGACATAGCTAGCAAGATCAATAGAAAGCCCATGGATTGGGAGAAGATCTTCACTAGCCATACAACAGACAAGGGCCTCATATCTGAAATATACTTAGAGGGCTGGGAAGGTGGCTCAGTGGTAGAGTGTTTGCCTTGCATGCATGACTAGGTTCAATTCCTCAGCACCACATAAGCAGAACAAGCCAGAAGTGGTGCTGTGGCTCAAGTTGTAGAGCACTAACCTTGAGCTGAAGAGCTGACGGACCATACCCAGGCCCAGAGTTCAGGTCCCACGACTGACACCTCCACCCCCCCAAAAAAATATAATTAGAACTCAAAAAATTAAATCCCCCAACAACAAATCCTCAAAGAAACAACTGCCCAATTAATAAGTAGGCTAAAGACTCAAAGAGAGGCTTCTCTGAAGAGGAAATAAGAATAGACACATGAAGAAATGCTCAACTTCTCTAGTTATTATACAGATTTTAATTGACTTCAATTAAAATACTAGAAAGTATTTTTTTTCCAAGTCAGGTATGTTAGAGACATAACATTGCAATAGTGACACTAGTGGGCTTGGGATAGCTGGGGGCAAAATAATAGAATGACATTGATCAGGATACATTGTACTTAATTGTAGGCATCAGTAGCTCATGCTTGTGATACTGGCAACTCAGGAGGCTGAGATCTTAGGATCTTGTTTTGAAGCCAGTTGGGCAAACAAATAGAGAAGCTATCTTCAGTTAACTAGCAAAAACTGGAACTGGAGGTATAACTCAAGTTGTAGAGCATCAGCCAGCAGAAAAAGCCAAGTTAGAGTATGTAGTCCTTAGTTTAAGCCTTAGTACCAGCATATACCCACCCCCAAATGCATTGTATTCATTAATTTATATGTTGAATTGAAAGTCCTTTGTACAACTACTGTATATATTTGCATGCATGTGTATTTACATATCTAGACACACATATACGAGTGTGTATGTGTTTGCGTTTTTGTTTTTTTTTTTGGGTGCTGGTAATGGAGCTTGAAATCAGGGTCAGGACACTGTCCCTTAGCTTTTGTGTTCAAGCCTGGTCCTCTACCATTTGAGCTACCATTCCACTTCTGGCTTTTTGCTGGTTAGCTATACATAAGAGTCTCACAGACTTTTCCTGCCCCAGCTGGTTTCAAACCACAATCCTTGGATCTTAGCAATCTAAGTAGCTAGGATTATAGATATGAATACCTCCACCTGGCAATTTAAAAAAATAGTTGTTTTTCGTACCAGTTCTGGGACTTGAACTCAGTGCTTGGGTGCTGTCCCTTAACTTTTGTGCTCAAGGCTAGCATTCTTCCACTTTAGCCACAACTCTAATTCCAGCTTTTTTTGTGGTTAATTGGAGATAAGAGTCTCATAGATTTTCCTTCCCAGGCTGTCTTTGAACCATGATCCTTAGATCTCAGGTTCCTGAGTAGCTAGGATTACAGGCATGAGCCACCATGCCCAGCTAATTTTTTTAATTTAAAATATTAAAAAAATGAGACAGTAGTCAGTTGAGCTCCACAGTTTAGCTTCATCTGCCACTCATCCTTCTATACATCCTAGCATATATATATTCATTGGTGCATAAGTTTGGAGGTTAACACACTCATTTGGGAGACAGACAAATGAAAAGGCAATTAAGAAGTAGAAAGTCAGTGATTTGACTAAGTGAAGAGTGGTGGAGGTCAAGGAAAAGGAAGGCTTGGTGGGGTTGCTGGTGCATGGATAGGATCTGAAAGGATGATACAAGCAAAGAGGGAAAGGAGATCCTCTAGGCAAAAGGGTTTGAGGAAAAGTAGAATGTGAGCACTGGCAGTAAGGACAGTTACAAGACAGAAATATAATCTGGAGCAGGCAAAGAAAGCTTCCTGGAAGAGGTAAAATGTATCAAGTTTGGAAGATGGTACTTTTGGTCATTGATGACAATAGAAGAACAGACTGGTATTCTAGATGCAAATCACACCTTTGTAGTTCAGAGAGAGAAGTAATCAAAGTTTGCTATGAAATGCTAATGTGTTTGGGTTTTTTTTTCCCCCAAAAATAGTTCTTTTCTCCTCAGCATTCTGACATACTGATGAGCTGGGTGCTGGTAGCTTATGCCTCTAATGCGAGCTACTAAGGAGGCTGAGATAGGAGGACCGCAATTTGAAGCCACCCCAGGCAAGAAAGTCCTAGAAATGGTTATCTCCAATTAACCATCAAAAAGCTGGAGGTGGATCTGTGGTTCACGTGGTAGAGCACTAGCCTTGAGTAAAAAAGCTCAAGAACAGTGTCTGTGCCCTGAGTTCAAAGCCCCAGGGACCAAAAAGTGTTGATGAGAAGCCTTAGCCTATGGCAGTTAAATCAGAATCTTCATGGTAGGGTTTACCAGTACCAGTATTCTTTTTCAGAGCTTGTACATGATTCTAGTGTGCTGATGGTGGTTCTAGTAAGAGCCACTTTCACAGTGGTGTGAAATAGTTTCCTGACCAACTAAGCATAAAGGTGATTCACAGTTCATCTGCTGAACAGTCCCCTGTGAAGTTCTTCCACTCCCGGCCCTATTTGATGCTTCTGCAGATAGAAGGTAGCATAACTCAAAATGTTCTCTCCTATACCCTGCCTACCTCCCCTGTTCTGGTCACTGCTTACTAGGAAGCATGCTGCAAAGATTGTGAGGAGATTGTGTTTGCTGGAAAATGATGGCCATGTTTTTTAAAGTAGACTCTGCAGGAACTCCATTCATTGACACTTCGGTTAGTC